ATGAAATTGATTGGTTATTTTATTTAAATAAATAATCAAATTTACGATTTAATTTTTTAGTTTAGTAAATTAAAATGGAAATAATTTATTATAATCAAACAGATATTATTGAATTTAAATTTTTATTCGAAGTACCTAAATCCTTTGAATTTAAATTTGAGGTATATATCTCTTTAGCAGATGTTTTATCACCATTAAATGATAATGGTTATTTAAGTAGTGATGATGAAATTGAAGCAGAATTTATTAAAACATCAAAACAAATTGATTCAAGAACATATACAATTAATTTAAATGGAGAAAGAAAAGCTATCATTTTTATTGGTTGTTCTTTAGAGTTTGTAAAAAAAATTATAGAAAAGTGTTATTATTTTAATCGTTTATGTTCTATCACTTTTAACAAAAATAGATTAATTAGTTTTGTTAATTATGAAAAAAAAGAAAATTTTTTAGAAAATATAATTAAAGCTGTACAAAATTTAAATTACGATGATGAAATTTCATATATATATTCTAAATTACTTGTTAATCATTTATTATAAAATAATAGTTTTTAATTTTATTTATTTTTTTTTTTTATATATAAATAAAGTTTAAATATATTTATTTGTTAAAATGTCTGAAAATAATATTGACGAGCTTGAACAGCTTATTCAAAATCTTGAAAACCAATCATCTTCATCTAATGAACAAATTTTAGAAGATCTTATCAATTTAGTAAATAGAACATTAGAAGCTTCTAAACGTGAAAATCTTATTCATGAAAAGGAAACTGAAATTAAAAGTTTTCAAAATATTAATGCGAATTTGGTACGTGAAGTTGAACATTATAAAATATTAAGCAGTAAAAATTTTACCAAAGGAATTCAAACTATATTATTTGATTATTTTAATAAATTTATAGATTATTTGTTGAATTTTATTCCAAGTAATGATGAAACAGCATTAATAAATTTTATTAAGCAACAAATAAAATCTATAATCATCGAGCAGAAAATTTTTGAACATTATTATGAAAAAATAGTAGATCAAAAAATTTTGTTAGTTTT